AGTAACCCGCGTCCGCGAGCCTATTCGACCAGACACGCGCGGATTTCCGCGTTCCGACGTTCAATTATCGAAACCGTCTACACCTTTAATCTCTTATCAAACCAATTGCCGCCGTAAAATTAAATATACCACGCTTACTTCGCCTATCTCTTCATCCTACCTTCGCTCGGCCCTACGTATGGTATTTTCTATTAAATTAAACCCCTTATTTATCCCTGTCCCGAATCTTCCAAACTCGCAAGTCGTTTACTTCTCCTACCTGGTCACCTCCCAATTTTATATCGCTTTATATTTTATTTTAATTTGTATCATGTACCATTTTATGCCATTGCACCACGTGGACAATGATAAGCTTCGCGTACATGGATTTGAGATAAAAGTTAATCTTTCCCTAATAGCACAGAAATATTTTAAAAGGTTAAATATATTTTAAAATCTTTTTAAAATACTTTATAAATATTTTAAAATATATTGAATCTTTTAAAATATTTCTGTGCTATTAGGGTTGTAACGTCGGCGTTTTCTTGACCAACCAATTCGAATTGGTGAGAATCGCCCGCCTAGGGTGTAGGGAGAGGTCCAGGTTCAAACCCTGGCCGAGGTAATATCTTTCGCAATAAATTTTCTGTATTACTAAAAAATGCCAGGTATCGCCAAGAAACACTGGCGTTGTTGATTACCGCCGGCGACAGTGAAGAAGTTTCTTATTAGTTGATTAATCTTTTTATTTACGAGAGACGGATCTTGAATTGCAAGGCGCCGGTGTATCGCGCCACATAACCAGCACTTGTCAACGGTGCTCGCGGGATTATTCGCAGCCCAATATAACTCGCGTTATTCGCGTGATATAACGCCGCGTCAAATATTATGCGGGTACGCACATTGTGGGCTCTATCCACCTTCGTGTGAAAGCGCCATTCCGGCTGAGCGAGACATAGAAAGACGAGACTCGTTCACACGGGGGGTCACACAGCTAGCCCCAAGAGAGCAGTCATTGACATTGGAGAAAGAGCGAGCGGGACGAGAGAGGGAAAGATGAGAAAGCGTTAGAGTGAGACGACGATACGTCTTCGAGAAACGTGACTAATATGGTCTCGCAGTATCTTTACACGCCGCCTCGCCGTCTTCTCTGATTTCTTCGCTGTCGCGAAGCTAAGCGGGCCTGCTCCTTCGTCACTTAAAACAAAGCCGAAGAGTCGGGAGGCGCGGGAGGCACAAATTAATTCCGCTCGTTACAATGTCAAGTCACGATCGTGGAGAATTTTCTCGGTGAGATTTTCCTCCCGCGACTCTGCCGGTCGCAAGGGGAAACGTAATGCAAAGTGAATGAGCGTAAGAAAAAAACGATTGAGGATACTCCCGCAGCGATGACGGGCGCTAATCGTAAGATGATTAACTGAGTTTTAATATTTTCATAATGTTTCTCTATTATTATTTATCGCATAGCGGTCTGTGATCGAGAACGGAAACGTGGGTCGTTGATGAGAATTCATGAAAAAGCTCGCGATTCAAACCGCCTTCGAGCGAAGGCACGAAGTAGCAATTTTCGATATATTAAAACAATTAAAGGCTTGTAAGAAAATATATGATGTGGCAACCGTACGTGAGGGTCGAAATTGCAGGTGCAACCCACCGCGATATTAGCAAATTACATAGCGGAATGGCATTAGACGGTATACGCCGAAGATGCAAGAATGTGTCTAATTACATGCTCGTCCCGCCACGAAGAATCGCTTAAGAGGGAAATTATCCGCTGTTGAAACTCTGCGAAATGCCCTAGAGAACAATATGGCTCTCTTCGCATACGTCTAATTTAATTATAATATTACGATATAATATACAATTTATTGGTAATGTATTTCTGGGTTTGTACGTACCTATGCGTATAACGAATTAATCTCTTATTGAATTTATTATTGAGAAAGCGATCAGACTTGAAAATTAGTAAGTGCATTCTAACAAAAACAGAAAAATTTACCTTCCAAAAATGACAGAGTAGAAAAATGCTCGAACCTTTTCAACGGGTTCTCTATTTCTTCCTTAGATTCGTAAATAATTCTATGATTTATGAAGCGCGAGATAGCATCGATTGATATCATTCCTTCGATTTGTATCATCGTTCTTAAAATAGGATACATGATATGTAAGAATTTATTTCTTCCCACCTTTTTTTAAATATCAAGTAATCAATGTCTGCATGTAATGCGATATTCACGATCGCGGTTGCAATTTAGCTTTGTATTATATTATCAATCAACGATTAATCAATATCAATGTCAATCAACGAATGTAATTTACATTTAAAGGATAATAACAAAGCTAATTCTTTAATTTATTGGGGGGGGGGGGGTAAACCGCTGACCAAAATCACGTACACCAAAGCCCACTAATGCCCAATGGGTATTACTTTATCTTATTATTTTATTTTATCTTATTTTATCTTTAAAATGTCCTAGCAAGGCCTAATGCCCAAAAAATGCCCAGAATGCCCAGTTAGGCCGCAAATCTGCGCACCACGATGCCCACAGCGGTTTTACCCCTCGAAATTATTTTAAAAATTAATTTGTGTACGGTGGAAATTAATTGTGCAGTTATTTACCAAACCAATTACATAGACCGTGCGAGAGCGGTATCTCACTCTTACTCTTACTAATACGTAATACTCGTAATACTCTATATTAATTTTAGCGTCTCAAGTAAAGATTGCTCTGTAACTCGATAGCAGATAACGATTCGTATCTGCCGAAGTATGAAGAATAAATACATTTATAAAGTCTGCTGGCGAATAGAGCAGAGAGCAGAGAGAGAGAGAGAGAGAGAGAGAGAGAGAGAGAGAGAGAGAGAGAGAGAGAATGAGTGAACAAGATACTGTACTTAGGCGGCAGAGCAATCTTGGATAACGCCAAAACAGGTTTCGCGTGAATGTCTCACTTCTTCCTGACGACGACGACGACGACGACGACGACGATTCGACGGTATTCGACAGCCGCGCCGCGTTCATCGGACTTTACTCCTGCGGGTAGCAGACAAGTAGAAAGTACAATATAACGCAAATAATGCTGATAAAGCGCTCGCCGCATGTATATCGCGAGTAAACAGAGATTGAAATTGTAAACGATCCGATTCATTTCAGCTGACGAAGAAGTTTGCGGCCGTGCATTTAAAATGTGTCGAACTGTGCAAAACTGGAGCACCTTTCTGGGGGAATTGTCTCGTCTTATATTTGAAGAATGGCTCGATGAGAAAAACGTTTAAAAATAAAATTATAGTTTTAATATAGTTAATAGTGTTTTACTTTTCTCTATCTTTAAAATTTTTTTATTTGTTACATCAAAGAAAGGATAAGAATCGGCAATATATTGCATATTTTTACATTATAAAAGAAAGAGTATTTAATAAAAGTTTTATCAAATATATGCAGTTGCAATCGTTTTGAATTTACGACTTGGTAAACCTTTTTGTGAGGTAGCGCAAAAAGAATGCCAAAGAGTAATTCGTGTTACATAACGTGTATACATGATCTCCGACAAATCTGGCACACAACGCACTGAACGGCAATGCAATGCAATTTATGATAAGTGTACAAAATAATGTATATGTGCTGATCAACATGGATACAGGGACGGTTAAATTAATGAAACGTAACGGTGTCGAATAAAATACACCTCTGCAAGGATAATGCGTTAAAGTGCCGCTTCGTGTCTGTATCTCACGCGGAAACCTAACGATAATAACTAAAAATATGTATGCATGGGTAAGAACATGTTTCCACTCAAGGCGTGAATTATTTCAATTTATGACAAATTGTGAAGCTTGTAATTTGTGCCTCCTTTAAATGTCTAACAATCGAATGAAGAAATAAATTAATGACACAAGTAAAGAAAGTAAATGAAAAAGCGAAATCTATTGAGCCATAAAAGTGTGATAGATCATAGAAAAGATAAATGAAAAAAAAAATATCACACACGCATCCCATTGGGCAATGTGACGCTCTTTTGAGCTAATGTTCTAGAGAAGAAGAGAGATAAACGAAACGAGATAATGCAAGATTTCTTTTTATCAGTCGATATGATAATTCATCAAAATAAAGTGACTCAAAATTCGGAATGCAGTCTCCCCATGTCCCAGAAAGCCTTTTCTCGTTCCTAAGAAATTATTTTCTCCTCGTAATCATCCTGTTCACGAGCCAAAAATTCCTGCCACTCTCTAACGACCCGTCATCCTCCATTTGCCGGCGAGCGCGAAACGCATGATCAGCATATCCACCAACTTCGAATCCGACACGACTCCCATTCACAATACAGTCGAGCGTAAAACTTTGACCAACTTACGCTCACACCATATTGAAAATTGAAAAAGCATACGCGTCGAAAGGACTATCTTTTCTAACAATCTGTAGAAGTGTAAGATAATTGAATTGTTTCAATTTTAAAATAACCCTATCTTTTTATCTTGTAGAACAATGGAAGAGTTGGATTAATTTTGAATTTCATTATAATGTTATTCACTAATCCTCCTTTCCTTTCTTTCACTGAAGAATGAATAGAAATTATGGTTTTACCCCCCATCGTTTTTATACTATAATAAAATATCAAATCGATTGCCCGGACTAATCAATAGTCATCAGCGATGTGTGCGTCCAAGAGTTTAATTCTTTTAATATTCTTTGTGTCTTGCAGATCTCAGATTAAGATTTGAAAGATTTAGAATAATCGCTGAATTTTTGAGTAACACCTCTGTTTATTTACTTGACCCCTCGACGAGTGCCGTAAAAATTGAACTAATTGAAATTAATCATTTTGCACACGTTCTCTTTTATTTGGAGACCGACGGACATCGAGGAGCAATGCTGAACACATCATCGCTGTAACGAGTCTCCGTTCAACAACCTTCACTGCCAGATGCACCATATTTCACCGATTCCCGGCTCGAGAAAGGGCCCTTCACCGCGGCCGGTGAGGCCTTACGTTCCGAAATAAGTGGCGAGCGAGAAAAATTACCCCTGGTCTTCGTCAGCAGCGGCTCCTTGCTGAACGATGCGGACCACGTCCGTCGTCGACATCGTTGGCACTCACGTTGCCGTTGGCACACACCGACGATCACCGATCACACATCCTGCCGCTCCTCCTCTTCGCGCACCCCCGGGAGGAATTCACCCCCGATACCGCGCCTCCGCGGATCGGGAGGAATTTTCTTTCTGACAAACTCGCGAGCCCAAACTCTCCTCGCCGCGCTCCGCGGTTAACGCACGTGTGTTCGCCAGACCAGGCCGGGTTAAACGCTGGGTGTCCAGGCTGGTTGGCGCCCGTCAAGGCTACCGATATGGGAGAGCGAAAGAGCGATCCGGGGGCCCGCTTCTGCGGCCACGGGCTCCGATACACGTCCTCGTGCGTTTACCTGGTCCCCCGGTGCAGCAGGAGGAGGAGGAGGAAGAAGAGGCGGAGGTGGAGAAGCGATACCACGAGGAGTTGCACACACGGCGGTGAACACCACCTTACTGAGGCCCCAAGACCCAGACGAGTGTCGTGCCGCACGGCTCGTCGGTCTTACCTGTGCACATGTACGCACGCGGCGTTTTTCTTCGACTCACCTGTGTGCGTACACCGTGTTCTTTTACCTCCGCACACGCAGACAGGTGTACGATTCTTGATTGGATTATGTGTGTGCGTATATGTATGTGCACGCTGTGTGTAAACTGGCGTGGCACGTTCTTTACGTTCCGTTTGCCTGTGTACAAGATACCGCCAAGATATTCTTTTCCTTTTATCTACGAACGCGGCGCAGGCATACGAAAGTGTGACTCCTGATTTGCGTGTGTTACGCGTAAACTGGTGTGGCGTGTTTTTTGCCCCTGTGTGCGTGTACGGGTGTGCGTAACGTCGCGCGCACACCGCTTCACGCTCACCTGTGTGCGTGGCGACGCCGTGTGTTCTTTTACTTCTACCTGTACCGATAATCTGACTTTTGACTGTGCGCGTAGTTATGCGTGTATACCGATACGCCGTATTCTGTTCCTCATCCTGGTGCAACCAGCCGATGAGGAATTCTTGGCTCCATGTGTGCGTGGATGTGCGCCTGTGTGGCGTCGTTTTATCTGCTCCTGCACATTGGTATTAGGAAGAGATCGTGCGTACACGAGTGTGTGCACGTGTGCGGGCATACTGCATAGTGTGAGGGCTCAGTGATGTATGACGGGACTGGACGTCCCGAGAAGTCCAAGGGATTTTAAATAAGATACGTGATATTTAATTTAATTGTGTGACTTTTAGAGGAAAAGAATAATACACTCAACCGGGTCATTCGTTCAATTTTCGTTGTATAAAGGACTTTTAATAATAAATTGCACTATTTACTAAACTAGTGAGAATCCTCTTAAAAGTCGCCAGCAGTAATTAACAACATCAGTGATTTTTATCGACCATATCTGGCAATTAAAATTCTTATATACAGGGTGTCCTGAAATTCGCGAATCAAAATACCATAGCAAGAAAGTCGTCGAAAAAATAAATTAAAAAGTTATTAGCCATTTTTCGTTCCGAGCAGTAGTTTTTTTAGATAAAAAGGTGCAAAACAGGCCAATCATACATTACGGTTGAACGGAACGAAAAATGGCAAATAACTTTTTAATTTATTTTTTCGACGACTTTCTTGCTATGGTATTTTGATTCGCGAATTTCAGGACACCCTGTATATAATTTAAAAGCTACAGTCTGATAAGGCACTTTTCTTAATCAATAATGATACAGCTTTTTACATTAATTTTCTTCGTGTTTTTTTTCTGTTAAAAAGTTTTCTTCCCTTAAATTTTTCCGAGGGGTAAACCGCGGAGGGCGCACCGTGGTGTACATATTTGCGGCATTACTGGGCATTTTTTGGGCATTAGTTTGGGCATCAGGCCTTGCTGGGGCATTGTAAAGATAAAACAAGATAAAATAATGCCCGCTGGTCATCAGTGGTCATCGGTGCACCTGATTTTGGTCAGTTTGCCTCTCAATTTGTCTTTTTCATTGTTAAAAGTTGAGATAAATTTATTTCATCGAATTTATCACGTTTTGGCCACGTGTTGTAACTTGTACAATACAGAATTTCAAGTGCATGTATCTTGGTTTCACGTACACATGACTGAGTATTCTCCAACACATCAATAATCCAATCCTTGGCGAGCGGTGTAACGTACATGACGTGTGTCGATAAATCATCGATTAGTTTTTTTTTTATCTCGGATCGCCTACAAGCGGAATAATTTTGCTGGAGAACGGGAGAAAAAACGCGAGCAATGTCGCAGGAAGTGATTCGATCAGTTTCTATTATGTTTCAGTGTTGTTGCAACTTCCTCCGCGTGATTGAGATTCGCAAGAAATATAATATTTATTGGCTCTCTGTCATACGTAATTTGCCAAATGAATTCTTTATTTCTTCATATTCAACCGCATGTCCAATGTCAAATATCAAAAGGTTGAGGTCTTTTGAGAACAGCCTTGTTCTATTTCATTATTATGTTTATCGGCGATTTTCTCAGGTCACGTTGCAAGATCATATTTTCGATATCACGAAATTACTCTTACAATTCATATTCATCACAAGTCGAGACGAAATAAATATAAATTAAATATTTTGGACAAATGCACCGAACAGAAACGTCAGGTAACGGACGAATCAATGGCGTCCCAACAATTCTTTAAATTATGTTCTTATTGTAATTGCTCTCAGTCATTGTCAAATATATTACTTCAATTATTTTTATTATTATTATATGTATAGATGTATATATGCAATAAGCTTGTATTAATTATTAAAATTAATTAAATTGTTTTCTACTATAAGTTATAAGTTACTCAAGTTGTTTTATACTTTATTGCACGCTCTGTACCGACGTACACGTGATAGTTCACCGATCATTTAACACTTTCGATCTCTTCTTGTTCCTTTCCTTTCCATCAACTCGGTGAACTATTGTAATCCGTGTTCTCCTTCTTTCCCTATTCCCCCCCCCTTCTCTCGCGCGCACGCTCGAATCGTGCATGTAAATGTATCTTGCATACTTACAACAGAAGAGTTGCAACGAAAATTTGAAAGGATGTAGAAGCCTCTGCTACCTGTTGCGCTCGACTTGCATGCATTTGTCGCAAGAATGTAAACGCATCGCGTGAGATGCAGTACATAGTGAGCAGCTCGGGTGCATTAATGCATTTTGATGCACGCTAACAGTACTATCGTGTATAAATTTGCCTAAGTACAACTATGTAAGCATGCAAGCCTTTTATGGTCGAACACTTTTTGTCGATCGAGTGCCTGTACATATAAAATTTTGTGAAATAACTGATAGAACTTAATGCAAAAACTAGTAGAGCATAGGAATATAAACGCATGCTGCTGTATAAATAAGCTCCAATCGAGTATTTTTTTATATGATTGGAAATGTCGGATTAATATCGCGACTGTATGAGCAAATATGAGTTTACACCATTGCTCTTCAAATTTCACTCATGCTTGTGAGTCGCCTGCGAATGCCAAATCAGTTATGTAGAATATGCACTCGAAGAGGCGGGTGTATAAATCTCGGTTTAAATTATATTAGTTTTCATCGAATTATTTATGAAATTCACAATCGAACTGAATAACATGAAAAAATAAAAAAAAATTATATGACACATAGCATTGAACTTTTACAATTATTTTTTCTCACTTTTATATCAAACTACTATTAAGGAGATAAATTTTTAAGTTTAAGTTAGAAAAGAAGGAGTTGGGGAAAAAACTGACAGAAATTACGACGACGATAATAGCGATGAGAACATCAATAATCTTCGATGACAGAATGTAGCAGTTACGACTACAAAATATACGACTGAGGCCTTACTATGCTACACAGTTTGTCATCAAAATACTACATATTTACAAGTCATAAAGTCGAGACAGCAGCGAAGGTCAGAGAATCGACTCTCATTGGTAAACGAATTTTCAGTTTTACATCAATATGTGAAAGATATACACATAGGCCGGTATTCATAGTCAGATCTTATATTCAAGACAGTCTTAAGATCATCTCTAGATACTCCGTAGCCAATGAAATGTTCCATATAGCATCTTTAGATAAATTCAAGATGGCTTTGAATATAAGATCCGACTGTGAATACCGGTCATAGTCATGTATACATATATAACTGAATTTTATAACATGATTAATCAAAATCTACTGAAGCTGCTTCGCTCCATACGTCATTAAAAAAATCTTGATTTCTATATATAAACGTTCTCAAAATTCTCTCTCAAAGAAACGAGAAAATGCGAGACAAATGCAAAATATGATCAAAGCTTCACGATTTTTCGTTTCCTTAATGTTTCGTCCTTTCGCTTCTATAAATTTATAAAATTTCTCGAGATACTTACATGATTATCAACAGTTCCCAACTTCGAGCGTCTTCCACCCTCTGAAGAACCTCGAGCAATTCATCCACGCGTTCCTCGTCCATAGAGATTGTATCATAGTACACGATATTTCTAACAAACAAGATCACCCGAGCCTTTGAATTTTCGAGACTAATAACGGTGTCCGGGATTATACGTGTTGCCGAGTGTCACGTACGACGGCATCACACTGACTCAGAATGTTGATACCGGCGCGGTTTCCTGGGGTGGCAAAGGTGTCTACGGCACATTCCATTTATATCTTACATCCTATCGACGTCACGGCGCAAGTGACGCGAATATCTTACTAAGACATATCTTTCGCGCATTTCGACAAAGAAGTCCACTTTAACTTCATATACAAAAATTACTTTCTTTTAATTTCTTTTAATTAATTAGCTGTTACGTGAAAGACATAGATTTCTATTTCTTTTCTAGTATTACGTATGTGTATGCATGTGTAATATACATATAATGCAATGTAATGCACATTATTGCATCCGCAATATATGCAAAGAATGGCGAATAAACGTCTGTGTCATTAGCTAATAACGAATTAGCCTCATACACAAGTCTGAAAAAAATACAAGAAAAGAGGATTTTTTAAATATCACTCTGTGTTTTTAATGATATTTAAAAATTCCCTTTTTCTTTTTCAGATTTACGTATAGTAATATATACACACATACATATATTTAATGTACAGATTCCTTGACCAATGCGGATTCGTTTTGATTTCTTCTCGTAAAGTGATTTCGCAAATAGTGATTTTTCGTGAAGTATCCAAATTGGCCGAAGAATCTTCAAGTAAAAAAAGTACGGGGGATTTAGAGAATACCCTGTGTGTATGTATATATATGTATTTCCTGTAAGATTTCGATGCGAGGAACAAAAACGATTGTATGCAATGTTTCCTCGCAGATTTTAAATGGACATCTTACATCGCTGCTGTAATCACTCAGTGAAAGGTTCTTTAATGTATTTGAGTAGTGATATATATACACACTATTAGACAATTATATCTGAAATTGCGGCACGTCGTGCAATATGAACAGTCTTTTAGAAACAATTTATAGGTATATATTCATATCTCACAATAGATTTTCGAAGAATGAACGAACGATTTTCGTTTATCTTCGCCAGATCGTACGCTATTCGTGCAATACCGAGGTGTTTGCGAAGTTATAAAAGAGCCATCGTGATATCGTACCATGAATAGCGGAATTTAGATTCAATTGGCGTCCCGAAAAGCCAAGAGCATTTAAAATCGAAGCCTTTGCAACAACGCGAAACGATTCGATCTGTTATGGCACGAGAAGTTTGTTATAATTTTAGGAATCTCTTTTGGTGTACCAAAAATTTTGACAATTCAGGACTCGGACCGTTAAATCACAGATTAACTCGAGACTTTATCGATATTCTGCACACATCAAACCTTGTTACGGTGAGTATTCAGGTCTGTATGGTCTTTTATTATATATTTTTATGTTGTTCTAAAATATTCGAAAGTTAAATTGCGCGAACTTGGCATTTACAGAAATGGGGTGTCACGTTTGTACCCCGATTCCGTGTGTATGAATTCGCGTGGTACAATAAATATATACCCAACTGTGTACTTTCCCTATGATGGACAATCGTACGTTTAATAGTAAAAGTACGAGACACATGTAGATTATAAAATTGACAGTTGTTGCGCAATGACATCAGGATACTGCGAATGTACAATGCTCCAAAGAAACCGTTTTTTTCGTTCTTCCTTTTCTTTTCTATACACATGCACGTCGTTAATGTCATATAATCGCGAAATTCGCGAAAAACTCCATAATTGTCAAACTCTTGCGAAGAGACGCATTTATACATAACAGATTCTCGTACTCGAGTCCTTCATTTTGAAAATGAGAGGGTATAATTTAAATAAAACGAGAAATCTAAACTAGCTAGCTTATTAGAATAGAATATTTAAATAAAAAAAATGTTTAAATTAGATTAGAAACTTTGTTTGATTTGATAAAAAATTTTTATGCATGACTTTCATGTGTCATTTCTCCCATTTTCAAAATAAGCGGTACGATTTTACATAACACGCATACAAAACTGCATTCAATCATGTACATAAAGAGACGCATTCATTATTTTTCATTCGTCCAGTAACTCTGCTATTGCTTCGCATTTTTTTCATATATTTTTCCTTTTTGCAGTAATGCGCAAAGTTGCTCTTAAGATTTTGCTCACAGTAACATTTGCTATCGGTATGTGCTTTTAACATCTTTATTCCATAGTATAACTAGTAGATCCATTCTCTGCCGGCCCCTTTGATCTTGCGGTCCCGATCATGTGGTATTCCGCCATTATTCTGGGCATCAATTCAGCAGCGTATGTGTGTGTACGTACTGTAGTTGTATCAAAGCTACATTACCACACGTACAACTATTCTCTCATTAGTCTGCCCGGAACAATGTTGGATGCGCAAAAGGGATCGACGCAAAACGAAACACATGACGGAGTGGACCTACTAGCTGTACTATTTTTATTCTAACTTTGAGTCACGATTAATCTAAGCAAGAAAGTGAACTTGCAATCGATTTCACCAAGTTCTAAAAAAATTCGTTTACTCTGAATACTGTATTAGTGAACAATGTCAAGTTGGAGTTGATAAATAAAAGTGATTTAATCATCTTTAATAATGATCTTTTTATTTTGATGCAATAAAAATATACTTTCGAAATCTCGTCAAAGACTTGATAGTCTCTATCATTCTAATAGAAAGTCGATGAAACTGACTATCAATGTGAGACTATTTTACAGAAATTCAGAATATTCGTAGGGTATACACATATATAAATTCTATATATATATATCAATATAGATCTATATTTCCTTTTATAGATGTATATATGCATGTATAGAATGTATATAGATATACGTATATAGAAATTCATAGAATACTTCGCGAATTTCGGTAACTCAACAACGAATGTCAAAACCGAAAAACTCATACCTTGTAACTGGATGGCTTGGAATCAAAAGGACCGAGGATCCAGAATGTCCTCTTTTTATCTTTTAATTTTATAATAAAGTGATCCGGCACGTTTATCAGTGGATCAATACCGCGCGAAATTCAATCTCTTAACCTATCTTAACACTGCGAGAAAATCTCTAAGATAAAACATTGCGTCGACTAAAATCAGAATCCGCACACCGGAAGTAGAGAAAAACGCGGAGCTATCACGATTATCGCGACTCCGCCTTCGTTTTCGGCGGCCTGAAGGCTTTCAGCTTCTTTGCCTTCTTCTGCTTTGTGGCGCTAGAACCGGATTGAAACGCCTTCCAGCTGTCGACGCGCGATTGTCTGGACTCCTCGAAATTTCGTTGCCACTCGCGTTCCATTGCTGCCTGGGCTTCCGCAGACAATTCCTCTTCGCGCTTTCTCTTGCGCTGCTCCGCGTCTCTCGTGGCTAGTTCTCGTCTGTAAACGAAAAAGAAACGATTTTAGATAAAGGTACTTTTATACTTAAACACTCGGAGATGTAGCCCAAGGTTAACTAATTTCTGTCTAAAACCTTGTGTCTACGATGTTAGAGATCGGTCCAAGATCTCGATCCGAGAGATATGCAGCCAATCAACTTGCATTACTTCCATTTTATGAAAAAGATCAAGTTTCCCAGAGGACATGCATGTCTAAAAGATGCCTTTTATGTTATATACATGTTCTCTGGGTTGGCTCAAGCCTGGCCATACAGTTCTCGAATACAAGGCTTAGTACTTTAATTCATATAGTATTTAAAATAAAGATGTAACCTTCTTCGCTCCATATCGGCGAACAGTTTCATTGTCATAACCCAGACCGCATGTGTGTAACCTTCCTCAGTTTCTTCCTCCAAAAGTGTAGGACCTGAGCTCTCGGATTTTCCTTCTTTTTTCTGCTTTTTCTTTTTTTCTGCAATCTTCGAAATTTGATATCGCATATAATATAAAAATTGACTGTAACGCAATGCACCGTGTTACAAAAAGCAAAACTAGCGTAGATAATTACCATGTGATCAGTTCGGGCCTTTGCCTCCTCAATAACATCCATACATTTTGATCTAGTTTCCTCATTTTCCAAAGTTTTCCACGCCTTATTAACAACTGCAAATGACGAGATATTTCGTTACACATCGTTTCTCACATTATAGTACATCTATTTTCTGGAGCTGAATGTATGTGCGCGTGTCTGTTGTGCTTACTTTCGAAGGCTTGCTGCGCTCTTTCAGCATCGTCTTGATTTTTGTCTGGATGCACCAAAATTGACATCTAGAATTTTCAAGTCGACAAATCAGAAATTAAGCTACAATACAATCGGAATTAAATTTCTAACTCTTACTGGAGGAAAACATGCGGATACTTACACGACGGTATTTCTTTTTTATTTCCTCTATCGCCGTGCTTGGGTCAATTTGTAAAACTTCAAATGGATTCAAATTGAAGTAGGACGACCCAGGTCGCAGTAGTCTGTCAATTTGTTGCTTCGGCGTCAGCACGGAGTCCCTCTTTTCAATTTCTTTAACCTGCAGAAAAGCGCAGTGATAATTTCGCATAACGACATAGATAAGCAGATAACGAGCGTACAAATAAACCGAATGCAATTAAACTCAATGGCGTTAAGCTTCTCGACAACGAGGCAACGTAACAAACTTTTAACACATGAAACTTCATTATGTATAGATATTCTGTCGAGTCTTCTTAAAATTATATAACAAACTCACTTTTGGAATAGCCAATGCAACGTACTACATAAGTTAGTGCGAATGTCACGGTGGAAGAATGCGAGAGAAATGCAGTTATGCCGAGGTAAGCGGTTGCTGCAAGCCGAAGCTATTAAACAGGCCCCGTTATCAGGAGCGTCGTGTTTATCTTCCTCATTCTGACGCAGTGCAAATAACCGCGAATTGGAATAACTGCACCTCGGCGAGGCCTCCTTAGATAGGGTAACGTTTAAATGCAACGATAATCCCGGCAGTAATTCTGTAAAATGCAATCGAACGCAAAGAGAAAGGGACAACGAGGCCACGGGGCACAGCCACGTCCGTGCAGGTTAGGCGGGCCCAATGTTTACAGCGACAATACCGCGCGCGAGAACTCGCGACGCGACTACGCACGATAACTGACGGGCAGTTAAAACACAAATAGACGCCGCGAGGCGTCCGCTGTCATTTTATATTTCCATCGTAAAGCAATACTTGTCGTAGTTACTGCCCCGAGTTTGTTTACGTCGCCGTACGCGAGCGGAGGGCCCGAGTGCCGTCTCGCCGGCGGCACCGCGCGCAAAAGGACGCCGGGATTAACGGGGAGTCGCGTACCTCCGTGTAAAATTCGTTAAATTCATCCTCCTTCTTGGCGGGATTTTCACTTGGTAAACTGGAGTCGGTGGAGGCCATCTTGCTTGTTACAAGCTCGAGAGGCTTCCGACGGTGCTGCCGGCTGGCGGAAGGTCGCGACCTTACCGGCACAGCTGACACAGCGTGGCTTATTTATCAGTATTGAAAGGGGAAAAAAAATGCTAAAAGATTGATAGAATTAACTTAATTGACATTGTTTTCCACACTTTTATCGGAGCTTTCAATTAAAATGTTGAAAACAAGAAGCAACGAGCTGTGCGAGATGTAAAACTGAAGACTAAGAACGAATAAAATTTATGTCTTATCGTTGTAAAATGAAAAGAAAAGAATTAAGATCTTTGAGAGTAATTCTGACTCGCAGAGAACACGGTATTTTATAAAAATACGGTATATGAATTCACATATTAAATTTAAAAAAATTACTAGGCTACCTCCAGCCTGCCTGGACGGTATTTAATTTTTAAATATAAACGTTCGCTTTCAATGTAAAATATACAGCAAACCGCAGTGTCAATAATATATTATAATAAATTAAATTGATTGGCACAAAGGAAGATTAATTCATTCTGTAAGATTATTTTTCTGAAGACTAATTTATTTAGATAAATTCTTTTTTTTTAAAGAGAGAGAGAGAGAGAGAGAGAGAAAGAACGGTGGAGAATGTGCGGACAAAGACGTCGATGTTCAATGTAAAATTTTGTAATATTTTATTAACAAAGCTTAACAGCCAATAAACAAGTAATGCCTCTTTCGCGATAACAAAGACACATCGAACGAAATCAGAGCGTTATTATTATTGCGGCATACACTTCCGTCAAACTGATCGGTTGACTAGGATCTAATATAGTTGATGTAACTAGCCTATGTAACATACAATATTCGCTACTCACTATACCCCTCCGTCGGAAAACTCACAGGTGCGATAAATAGGAGGGTGGGTCGGTGAAATCGCTACAGCGTAACGTTCTATGAATATCTAGCGCTTGTTACGTCTTGCTACCTAATCTAGCATGGCCTCTAAAGTCTAATTGTTCACTATTGAATACTGGTTCAGACATAAGCCGACGTTACTGTCGTCCAATCGCGAGGATGACACTGCCAACGAACAGAGATTCGGATTATATTCTTTAAAGAGTTTTTCAGCTTCCACACGCGATCGATTAGCTCCGATAATTCGAAGAAGAAAAAGCAAAGAACGTCCTAGCGATTTCTTACGGGGAGCAAAGATGTCCCAAGATGGATACATAACAAGCAGCTCTGCTAATAAACGATAAGTAGAAGGGGGAAGTAATTTAGATTCTTTCGTATACTTGAAGAAACTAGATCTCTCGTATCAGCTGTTTGAGGAGAAGACGTGTAATCCGTTGTAAAAATGTCAAGTTCAGATACGGCCCTCGCGATCTCCGATCGTAACGAAACGTATTCACAACAGTGTTAGTTCTCTTGCACGTGACTATACGCTACGACCAATTAATGATATCAACAATCGAAGTAGGAAAAGCGTGTACGTGTAACAACGATTACTCTATAATTCATTAAAGATCAAGTCAATTCGGAAACGTGCGCGTGTAATAAATCACACGGAATCCCCGACGATCTTACGCCGTCGCTAATTCTTTCCTCGCTATCTCAAATAGCAATTAATTCCTTTCAGATGATTTCAATATAACGTACCGGGTCAATAACATACGTTATATATTTCATTGCACGCGTTGTATAAACAATAGAACAATTATACGCGATTGACAATTAATGTGATTGACTGGTGCGTAACATTAATTGTAATTGTTAGTTAAAATTATGCTTAATTGCTCTTATAATTGCGTATGACTGCAATTACAGATAAGAATTACAGGAAGAATTATTATTGCGTATTAATTTCTATCATTAATATAATTCCAAGAAAGAGATAAATGTAATGCAGTCGTAAGAACAAACTTTTTCAATTTTCAACCATCTTCTATACGTGAAGAAGGAACATCTTTCTTGCTTTAATCAAGTCAAGACTCGCAAACTTCGAACAGCTCTCGCGTTATTCCGCCGACCGTGCTTCGTTGAATTGGACGCTTACGATGCCGACGATATTTATTACAGCGCACATTTTACAAAGTACGCAAAAGCTAGCTGAACTAACGATACTTCTATATACTGGGTACTATACACCGAGACTCTAAGTAAACGGGGTCGCTTCACTTCGCTGACTGAAACGAATGACGAGTGCATTTACGCAGAGTGACTGTAAAATCTCTAACTTTTATGCAGACTGTCTCGCCATCAATAACAGATTCTTTCAATTGTTTCGCTCTCATCTGCAATCTTGCTAGAAATCAACGTACTATAAAAAAAAATAGAAAAATTCACTAAACCCAATCAAAAGTTTGTTTTATAGCCTAATAAAAAATTTGCGTAAGATTAAAGATTTCGATTGTTGTATATATTGAAAATAATTTAAATTTGATATCTGTGTGCGTGTGCGATAATTCGATTCTCCACAAAATATATTTCCTTGCCGATAGTTTTGCTCTTCGTAAAATACGTTCTTCCGAGCAAGACACCCTGCATAAGACTCTGTATTTCGTCGCAAAGAACTAAGCGATGCCGATCTCCCTACAGGGCTGTTTCCACCCACGAAAAGTTTGCCAAAATATATTTCTTCGTAAAAATGTTACATCTATATATATTGCATTTCTCAATATGCAACCCAAGCACTTAGCATTAATAGAAAGCGGATATGGCATATATATACATATACATATATGTATACATATGTGTTCGACATGTAGAAGAGAGCAGATTTTAAAACGTTAGATCTTTTTTTTTTATGTAAACATGCTTTTTGCGCGAAAGAGCCGGCACGATTACACAGATAGATAATAGTTATGCGATGATTATAGACAAATAGATTGGTCGAGAATATCATCTGTGAATTTGCAAACACACTTAATTAGGAGCGACGACGAGATCGAGAGAAAGTCGAGTTTCCTCACAACGGATTTCTCGCGATTAACATTATTGTACACTTATCCATGTATATTTAGTCGTTAATGGTTCTTCAATCTCTTGCGATGGTCATTTCATGTCATCAAATTGACACATTATTGGACATTTGTTTTACTTTACAATTTTCAAATTAATTAACACACAATATATTTGCAGTTTTGTGACGTTTTAATTGAAATTTTATATCAAAGGATGGTAATTACGATTTGTTAATTATTATCTACACATATTTAATTTATGCTGTAAAATAAAGTGCTAAATTGACCGTTTGTACAAGTTGATGTAACGTTTATATAACATTTGAAACATTTGTATAAAATAAGGGCAAACAATTAAAAGAGATCGAAGAACCGTTAACAATCAGAGAGCTTATTATAATACTAATATAATCATGTAAATCTACCATATACACTCTCTTTAAAACACATTCGGTAGATCTCTCAAATCTGTCATTTGTATACGTTCATTATTTATATATTTTTATCTTTTTAGACGATATATAAACGGCCACTTTTGCTGAAATGATCTTTAAGTTTTGCTATGTACCCTCGAACTTCCACCAAGTTTCTCCTATCATTCCCCAGATCTACATATGTAATACAATAATCATTACATTTGTTATAAACAAGATGTTATATGCGACATAATTCTCAAGTAAGAAATTTAACGCCTTGAAATCTAACGATCGAAATAGCTTTGACAGTAAAGATATTAACAAAGTCATCGCTATAAAATTACATAAACGCAATGAATTGCTTAAAATGGATCGAGAAGTATAGTTGGATCAACGATCAGTTCAGCGAACGAGAGCACGGCTCTCGAGGTTACAGCCAGTAGACTATAAAAATGTGACAGAATGCACACACGCACTCACGTATGCGTACACATGTACTCACAAGCAATTGCATTCGCACGCACTCACGTATAAACTTTCAAAATCTATTTGGCACTCTCCTAGTTTCATCGAAAAGGCGAGCACACTTGCTATTATTTTTCAATTCAGAGACATTGCATATCGAGTAGCTTTATTCCGTCGCTACGTATACGGTTTTTAGCGGTACGCTATATCGCTTATATACATTCATCTTATACGTTATACTGTAATTGGTCTAAGAAAGTTCCCGGTTGCATAAAAAATATCAGCTGTGCCGCCCGAAGCGAGTCAATCGCCCGGTGATAATCACGAGTCACAATGTAATCCTCGTTACAGTCATACATATTGTAAAAGCCTCCTTTGCATCGCACGATTTTCGCGTATAATCGATTTGCATTTGTTCCTTAAATGCACAATTTTTATTATTCACAACAAATGTTTCAATAATAAAAATCGACCTTCAACCCGCACGCGAAAAATATGAGATCAGTCCATAATTCTTCATTTTTATCGACTTTTGATAATCCTGGTTTAATTATGACTGATATTAACAACATCGCACGGAAAATCGCACAATGAAAGCGAGCTTGAAGAAGTATAACAATCAGCCCAATTATTAATAAAGGGAAAGATCGTAAGACAGGAAGAATCTACGCATCGACTATTTTGCTCCGGAAGCTGTGTGAGTCATAAATAAAGTATAAAACTCACAATCTCAGTCATTATTTATAAATTATTTTTCACGTAGTAATATATAGAAAATTACATTATCCGACGTATAAAATTCAATTTAGAGAAATTCACAATTATAATGTGAATCTTATAATAAACAAAATTTAAATTAATAAAGTTAAGTTATATAAAATAGTCACAAGAAAAAATATCACAATACTTATTGTAAAAGGTTTTGCATTTCATTTTTTTACTTTTTTTACTCGCCAGAAAATCATTCGTCGATATGAATAGTGTAGATAATTCATTAATATTTAAACATTTGTAGAGAGAAAGAGAGAGATTTCAGACTCTTCAATTGATATTCATTTACACTGTCATATATGGATCAATCCGTAGATTTATAGATTAATTATTTTGGTCACATATATTATTCACGGATTGGATATACAAGACTACAAATCTTTACACAAGTTGTGTCGTAAAACGGATAAATAGATATAAAGATTTCCATGGCGTGTGAATGTCTAGTGATTTCAAAGTGCCGGAAAATATATTCCGATTACACGGAATGTGAAAGCTTCGTCCTTAAAGTGAAGTAATTTCGAAAAGTTTTCTAAGCGTCCCTACAAAATTGATCGGTCAAAAATATTTCTGCTTGCGAAGATGCATAAAGAATTTTCATTTTGGTTAAAAAAAACACAATTCTTCAAATTTTACCGTGTGGAAGTACCCTGCAAATCTCTTTACCGTATAGATTTTCCGAAAAAGGAAAAAATTAATCTTTTAGGATACAAATCTGCTATTCCCCAAAACATCAGAATACAATAATGAGAATTAATAAATTGTATTTTAGTTTTAAGAAATTATATTCATTATCAATTATATCTATTTAAAGTTATAATGACATAAAAATTTAGTGAATATCTTTTACGTGTCTTAATGTTCGTTTTATGTACACAATATATAATGGGAGTTAAATATGTACGTCGAAAGCCCTAGTCTAAATATTCAACGCGGAGAAAAAATTTTATGAACGTGCTGGATGCAGACACACTGCCGCTAGCGACTTTTCATTAAATCAATTATATGAATTTTGATGAATTCTTTGATCTTTTTCCAGCAACATCGTTGCTCACTGCTAACGGATATGAAAATTCAAGCTGTAACGTTCAGGCAACAACGTACTGCATAATGTACCGTATAACGTCATTGATTACGGTCGCTCAATAATTTGATGCCATTGTTATTACATCAGGAGTGTGATGATAGAAAAGTTATTACTCACCCATCACGAGACCTATCAAAACGAAGTTAAAGCATTGAACTTCCATGCGATCGATGCTTGTTTTGAAAAGGAAGGCACCTCTTGAAAATTTCCTTTTAGTAAAAATTTTGATTCGCACATTTAATTGAAAACCAATAGAAAGCAATTAGTTTTGATTTTGGAACATATTGCACACTTCTCGCCTGTATCCAGCTTCGTGAATGGTGTCCGAGGATACTAGTTAGGTTTGATTAGACATTTTGATGAATTACACTTGTTTTGATTACACAGTGCTAGAACGGTTTAAAAGGGAGATACAGTGCCGAGGGGTGGGAGGGGGAGCACTAACCATCGGCGGACATTGGAAAGGGCCCGCAGCGTGAAGAGCGTTGCCTCAATGTCGTCCCAATGTCGGCCGCGCATTATATTTTGTATTTTGATTTCGGGCTGTCAGCCATTTTCTCTTTTATACGTACTTTAGTATATTATAGTATACATCATTACACGCTTAGTCCTTAACGATACAAGAACAACAAACTCCTAACGGATCCTCTTATTACGATTGCATCTCGAATTAATTACTGGCGTTAATTTTACGTCGGTGCAACTGCGTTACGTGTACGTTGCGTTTTGCGTTACGCGCGACCGTGTGACACGTGCGTCTTTTCCTTTTATATATTGGGTTCTGTCGTATTTACGTAAATACTTACATGAGGTATAGCACTTGGAGAACATGGCACATTTTATATGTCGGACAACTGATCCGATGATATCCCCTGTGTTTATCAATATCGAACGGCACGATATGCATATTCATATGCACACAGATGCAAATACTCTAAGCGAAAGTCCGTCGGGAAAGATTTGCGAAAAATGTGACTTTTAATTCAATACCGACTATCAACAGACTTTTATCCTGCCACGTGGATTATCCGGCGAGCTATTTAATAATTTCGAAATTACTCATTAATTTCGCTCGGAGAATCGTGTTCTGGCTCGAGTCTGCTTCGATTTCATTTCCGTTTCTCTTGATCGGTAAGTCGTAATTGCTTTTCTCAAAAAATCTTTAGACTTAATGTTTAAATGTTTTTAAATTTCTCGCGATGCGGTAGAGATAGATTTTTTTTAAATAGCGTTGACACTTTTTATCCCGATTGAGCACTTCTCGCATAATTTCTCGAGGACTTTTTCATCGGAGTGTGTATGATAAACATGATGTTGATGATATGTTCGTTATGCCAAATTAATATTTAATTAATGCTCATCTTCCGAGCATCTTACTTATTTAATATAATATATTATTTCATGTGTGCGAAGAATGTGTGTGTGTGAGTGTGTGTATTGTTACGGCTATTATCATCAAGCATACGGAATTTCATTGCATATTTAGCTTATATGCAATTTTATGGTGAGTTTCATGTGAACCCCAATAATATTTAATTATCAACTAATTTCTCCTTTCGGCCCGTAATGATCTATCTAGCGTTGGAAAATCGCGCTCGATATAAATACTCGAAAACTGCGTTCAATGCTAAATTTACGGTAAATGCAATGCGAATATTCTATCCTACCTATATATGAATATATCCATGCCCTGAAAAATCTCGCGCTGCATTAAAAATAAAAATGTACATACGTACGTGACATTCTTGCTGTTCCTGCACGAAAGAAACATTAGTTGATCCATACGCTACAAATGCCATCTTAGCTTATCTCGCGATACGTAATGAAGGCGTTGCGTGTATTTTAAACTAGACCATTAATATTTATGCTTTGTACATACAACAGAATAACCGATATTAATATTCAACGCTACGTGCATATTTTTGGTTACGTAAACAAGTGATTGATAAAAATGTAAATTATATCGTTAAAAAATTGATTTCTAATTGAAACCGATTTAAAAGAATATCTTCCCGATCGCTTAATTTAGGTTGAAATGTGAGGAGTTGAAATAAATATACCGTCACATTTTATCTATGAATCTATACGATTTACCTCCAAACATTCAGGTTATTGAAACAAGGTAAATTCAGATCGTGTGTATGTGCGTTGTGCGTGCTAGCTCCACTTAAAATCTGGATCTATGTTTCAATTCGTACATTTTGGAATCATTACATCAACTTTAAGACATGCTTTCATGTCTTGTAAAATGCTGTTTAAATATACATGGATTTATATTTGTAGTATTTCAATTATATACCAAATATGTGACTCAAATGAACCACACAAATTTCGACATTTAAAGTTGACCTTGTAAATTTCGCCTACTTGACGTGTTAAATTATTAATCGTTATTTCTTATTCGTAGCGCGTATTTATTTTTAGTATTTCTCGAACGCTTCAAACCGCCTAGTCTCTGTCTCTGTTCGCAGATAAAAAGCGAGGATTTCAAATATTCCAAATTTTACATACTAAATATATAATTCATATACACACAATATATCCAAATATTCCAATAAAATCTTCATATTCAAAGTTAACCGTATTGTAAATCTTAGTTTCAAGTGTTAAATTAATTAATATTTTTCGTTATAAATACATCTTCTTCTCGCAGAGCGTTGCTCGAGCGTTTAATCTTTGTCCTCTTCGTAGGTAAAGCGAATATTCGGTCGCGCGAGACCGACGACGTCCTTTATTACGAGAGTCCTACTCAGCAGGAAGCAGGTAATAATGTGCTCCACATTGACACCACTCTCACAATTTCACGCTAATTTCACGCACACCAATTACACCTATGTACAAACACACGCTCACGGGCTTATACGAATTTACTTAACACTCCGTAGATCTTGCGAATTGTTCCTAATTAATTACGGTACATCACATGCATACGACACTCACTAGCGATAGTAGCGCATCTAGTCTCTTTTGTTTGTGACGTGCGAGCAACTATTCCGACCCCAAAATCAGAAACTATAAAACCAACCTCCTGGCCTCTACGCAGAATCTCGCGAATCCTGCTACTTGGACTTCTTTACTTGGAGGGACTCGAAGTCTCTCTTCTTTCACAAAGTGGCAAATGGGATACTTTTTAGGTACTGAATTTAATACAAAGTTCTACAGTCACATCGTTATTACATTTTATTCGCCATTTTTCATTAATTGCCTCAGAACTACGAAAATTTTCGCGCGATATCATCTCCTTACTCCTCAATATTTATCGTGAATTTAATCATAAATTGTATAAAAATGATCTAACCATGTAATAATCTTTTTCTATTCTCCGTGAAATAATATTTCGATCTTTAGGCAACGAACAAAGCTTATTTTCTGCCGATTTGTTTCTTTCTCGCGACGATTAAGCAGCAAGTAGCAGCATTCTCGATATATGAGAACGACCTCATGACCTACCTTGACTCCGCGACTATTCCATCTTCATGATATTGCGGCGTTCTTACAGCACGTCGAGGCGCTCGTTGCTACTCCACGACGTTCGATGACGTACTTCAGCGCGTTATTCAACCCCTTATCATCTCTTCCATCTCTTGCCGAAACTTTACAAAATACGCACAGAGTAGCGGGTCAAACTTACCTTCGAGAAATTGTACGATTGGTACGAGATTTGCTCCAAGATTCGAACGAACAAAGACGACGTTGTTGTTATTGGCGAACGACTTGTCGAGGATAAGGAAATGGGAATTCGCGGAGATCTAGGATAGAACGTAAAATCACAGGAAATGCTCTGTCCAAAAACGAAATCATCAGTCGAAGCTGAAGCGTTCTGTGGTTCACCCCCTTCACCGACGACCACGCGGCGACCTCGTAGAATTCACAGGGTCATACGTGGCGAACGGTGGAGGGGGTCGGGCCGCTATGCTTGGTCCACCTCGTGACAGACTTCCATATAGTCCGGGTTGTGCATTATATCCTTTATCATGTCCTTCAGTATTGTGTAACGCGGGAACATCGGGTACAACTTCGAGCCGTTGTACTCCTCCTGTAGTAGAAAGTGCTCCTTATTTCGGTCATTAATGAACGACAAATTGTAGACACGTCTATTTCACGTCCCGGAATAAGTTTCCCATATATCCTACTCTCTAAAGTATCTTTGATTTATAATTATAATTTTTTTTTGAGAGAGAGAGAAAGTTCTTGTACAATGTAACAAAACATGAGATAAAACTTCAATTCTCTCTGAACCACCGATAGTAATTTTCTGCGAAGTGGAGAAAAATGCTTTAAAAGGTATAATATTATATTTGAAAAAAAGTATTATCCGCGACAATTTCCGAATGTGGTTCGAGAGAACCAAAGAGCGCAAGGTGGTTGATATTACGACACCTTCGCACGCCTTTAATCTCCGATTTATTTGACTCTCCATGGAGAAAGAACGTAAAACGAGTAGATGATAGCCGTCGTATCACCGACCGGAAAGCGTTATAAGAGTAGCGGTACGCAACTTATTGGAACATAAAAAGAAAAGGGACGATCGTAACAATGTCCTAATATGACAGCCGGCGTTACGTTTCGCCGCTGTTGAACAGTATTATATTTTTACGACCATAATCGTAGAATTATAATCAATATAATTCACGTCAAAGATTTTTGCTCGATCGAAAAGAACATTGTTACTTAGAAAATATTAGTTTTTTCAATAAAATTTCATTTGAGAGAAAATAATAAACTTGCTACACGCATGTGAGCACAATGTTAAATTTTTGAATTAATTTAATATTGATATTTCAGGAAAGTTTAATCTCAATGCCGAAATACTGTTTTATATTAATTGTGAGATATAAAAAAATGTTCAATGTAATTTTGAGTTAAAATACATTTTAAAATATTATAGATTACAGTATTCGCGGAAAATTTAACTTCCTTTAGAAATACCCTTTTATACGAGATAAAATGATAAGTTAAACGTTGCAAAATACATACTTTCAATACTTTGATGAGGTTCCTGAGACCCGTGTATTTCTTCAGCAATCTGTACAGATCATTGGTCATCTGGGTGTTCTCAGCTTCGATTTGCGCCGTCGTCATATCTGTGCAAAACGTATCTCATATTTATTGATTTTATTTATCAAATGCAGTTCTCACAAATACGGTCCCCAAAAAAATGTATCAGATCATAAAAACTACGATTGTTGCGCAGCTTCCAAAACAAGTATCAATAAAGCGCCAGCGAAATCAATCAACTTGTGTTTTAAAAAAGTGCCTTATTTTTAGTGGTTTCAAAAACGCAACATTTATAACATTTTTTTTCAATGAAATCGCTTTTGTATCGAACAAGCAATACAAAAGCGCTACGTCGACGCGGTGCAACAAATTTTTTAAAGAAACTTTTTAGCATTAATAAGCAAGCATAAAAACGAACCACTGTCGGATGTTGCGTGCGGTTACAGCAACGTAGTTTGCTCGGCATTCCACCGAGAGGCATTAATTAACGTTAGGGGAAATATTGCTCTTGCTGACAAAATGAAAACCAAGCGGAAACGTTGGCCGTTAATATGTACGTTTACATGCAGCATAGAATCAAACTGAAGTGCTGGCGCAGCAATTTGATATCAGACAAATATTTTTGAACCTCCCATGGCCTTTTTAAAAAAAAAAAATGTCCTGAAGTTTTTTATTGTCTATTGACTATATATGCTTCCTACGAACGCGACTATCCGAAATATTTTGACAATAGTTTTAGCCTTTTAACGACATATTGTGTATTTAAAAATATAGCTTGCTTCGATTCTCCTCTATCAAAATATAAAATAAAATAAAATAAAACCAACAGACAGGTACAAGGTACAACGAAATATAGTAATAAACTAAAAAAAGTTGATATATAAACTTGGAAAAAATTTCCAATCATTAGATAAGTTAATTAATGGTTTCAATTAACCATTGTTAAAGCCATTTGTATCGAATGGTTTTAACTGGAACTTACATTTCGTTGCGAAACGGAGAGAAGAGAGGAAAGGGTTCTTTGATTAAGCAAGCGAAAAAGGGCGGAGTATTGTACCTGCAGTGAATATTTTTAATTACAGCACCGGCGCGGCGCGCTCGCGCTATCGACAATTTACGTTGTTAATAAGTTCTCCTTTTTGCTGGAATAATTTACGAATCCACGATAATCACGCGCGAGCGCGCGATCGTACGGCAGCAACAACGTTGGCGTTCGCATTTAGGATACATCACGCATTTAGGAACACGAAAAATAAAGAATATTTTTCGAATAATTTTCGCCGCACATATCGCGATAATGAAAAATATCATAAATCTTCCACGCTCTGGAAAAATTATGAAATGTTGTACGAGGCATCTGTTGAATATTTATGAGAGTGCAAAAACCAGCGTAAACGAGGCAAGAAAAGAGATTAATTAAAAAAAAAAATAGGTGGCCACTGATATTCCGAGTTTCTTTTTTACTTCGATTCGAAAGAAACGAAATTCGCCAATTTGCGAATATGTTATCAATAAAATGTTTGTACGAAATATTGACAATTGACTGCAACGCGTCTTTTTAATACCGCCAATATCGTCGTTGTAAATATAACAAAACTGATGGTAACATTAGTATTGTACTTGTGTTTCGTCTTAATGGCACAGGAACTTTGATATCTCCGATCTCTCGAGTATGATATATTATGCAGGCTTGAAAGCTTTCAAGCAACAGCCATTGAATTGTGTCTCCTTCGTATAATTCGCACAGCGTGAAAAATGTTACAATTGTTTCGCGAGTGCAGAGCGCGAGCGTATGGTATGTAATTATGTAGACTTTTTTGTAATCATAACGAAAAGGTACTAATAATTATAATTCATTGAAAAATATAATGCAATTGAGAATTGGAAATTAAATTGAATAAAAATTACACTAAAGATTTCACATTAAGCGAAAATTAATGAGTGAAAAAAAATGATCCACGGTTGGACTCAAATGAATGAATTGACCTCCTATTCATTGATTCGAATCGATTGAAGGCGTTAAAGTCGGACAATAATCAAAGTCGCAGGTAGGAAAACGAACGGCACGGACGAGAAACAATCGACGGAGGACAATGGAGAATTGTTTTCTTCCCCCGGCAAAACCAACCACTATTACTACTCTCGACAACGATCGATTACCGCACTCCGAATACTCACTCTCAAGTCTCTCGATGCGCTCCCTCTTGGTCTCGGCCTCCTCGGCGAGACGCGCCGAAGTCTTCACGCCTTCACCGCTTTTGTGGGTTTTCTCCATGATGGAACAGGCACGCAGCACGAAAGCGGGCACGGTCTCCTGCTTCTCCTGCCTCGGTATATCCACCAGCGTCCAATATTGCGTCTCCAGCTTAATTACGTCCTGGAAGGGCAAAACCGTCGGTAGCTGTCGGACACTGTCGCAACGGCGAAAAAAGAGAACGGAGGGGAAAAAAGCAGCGCGCTTGTGCAAGCCGATCGGCCATTGTACAGCGAATCCTTTTATCCGCGTGTCTTCGAACCGGCTCATTCATCAGACGTGGTTTAAGAAGATCGATTTCGTCCGCGTCTTTAGAAGGTGTAGCATCATTAATCTATATTCATATCTGAAATAATTGCTTACAAACCATAAAGGCATTTGATTTAAAAGAATTAAATTTTGTCCCATCCTTTCTTGAAAATTTAACCATATATTTCTGTACTCTTATAATTTTGAATAAAGTATCAATTGATTTTCATTCCTTCATTTTAATTTATTATTATGGTTTACTTTAATTTAATTCGATATTGATTTTTCAACATACTGAAGTCGTTTCGAGAGCCACTTTGGCTCTATTCCTGCTTTTTAATTCCGTAATAACGATTAATCTATATTCATATCTAAAATGATAGCTTACAAACCACAAAAGCGTTTGATTTAAAAAAAAAATCAAATTTTGTCCCATCCTTCCATTAAAATTTAGCCATATATTTCTGTACTCTTACAATTTTGAATAAAATATCTTCGATTTTCATTTCTTCGTTTTAATTTATTATTATGTTTTACTTTGATTTAATTCGATATTGATTTTTCAATATACTGAAGTCGTTTCGAGAGCCATTCTGACTCTATATTCCTGTTTTTTAATTCCGTAAGAACGAAAACACGGCTAATTTGAGTAATGCCGACAATTAGCAAGTTTATCCATCGTTCTTACAAAAGAATAACGATATATTTGCATTATAAGTGCTCCTGTATCGTTTCCTTCTTCTCTCGTATCTTACTAAGCACTTCAAACAGTACACCTTGGAATTACGCGACCATCGATGAAGCAAACGGCACGATTTACAGGGAGCAATTTTATTTTCGCGTTCGTATCGCATGAGGATTAATCCCAAGTTGGTTTTTCCTGCGTCGACAGGGAAAAACTCCGCGCTCTCGATTCTCTCGATAGCGGCTGCGCTTCGGAACGAAAGTTTACACCAGAAACAAACGTCGTCGCCCGAGCAAATGCACCTGCGGGACCAACGATCACGAATCGCTGTGTATGCACCCCGGGGAAGCGAAAGAACGAAAAAAAATAGAACTGAAAGATGGCGATAACCGCCGCGCTCGTCTTCTGCGCCGACTGCGAACGTATCTGGCAATCGCGCTGGCTATCTTTCGCGTGCATCTTTATTTGTTGCTCATCCCGCGGGGTGCGCGATCCATCTCTCGGACAACAAACGCTACGCCCGCCGCAGCGCGGGTACTTCATACATTTCGCGTGGTTACTTCGAAAAATAAAACGGCTGCGTTTCGAGTTCTTCCCTTTGCCGTTGCTCGTTCGTCAATTTTGTACAGCTGGGAATTTCAAGCCGCACACGGACGAGTCCGGATATTTTGCGCTCCGCTGCCTGTTTACTGACGAAATATCACACATATGCCATTTTTCCGTTGCTTCCTCGTCGTCTTTTTTTTTCACTTGTCGCTTCTCTATCGGTTTCATTCAATTTCGGATCAGTTCGCAAATTTACACGTACCATTGAGACGTTTTAGAACAAGTACAAATATGGTGTCGATACTGATTTTCAATAAATTTGTATTATACACCATCTACAATTTTTAGTTGCCTTTTCTATCCTACACCTATACTTTATCCCAGTTGTTTGAAAATTGATGCGAATTTCTGCGTATTAAATTTATATATAACTTATTAATACATTTTATTTGTTTTTCAAAGAATAAATGGAGAAGTTTAGATATAAAAGGACGCAACGATAGCCCCGGGAAGCATTAAATTACTCGCGAAAGATAATTCGACAATAAGGACGGCCGCAAGATTATCCGGAAATTATTTGTTATACTTAAACATTTGGACCAAGTCAATTATAAACTTGTCAATAAGTTAATTACGATTTATACCGCGGTTACAAATTAATAATTGGTTCCTTAGCGATTCGCCTTAACAGAGAACCGTGCGCGAGTGACTCGCACTCGAGTTTCAGCGGGAGCGAGCTGCCGTTCTCCCCCGTTCCTGTCGTTTACCTGTACAAACCGACGGCATAATTACAACGTAATTACGTCAAGCGACAGTCTGGGACTGATGCTCGCAGAGTACAAAGCGCTCATGTAACAAAAACACGCGTGCTACATCCAATTACGACACGCCCGGTCCCTCTTACCTTAATCATGTTTTTGAGGAGGTTGTAACGCTGGAACACGTTGCGCACTTGCTTGCTGTCGGTGTACTTGCACATCAGTTCGACGAGGGCCCTCTTGGCGGTGTCGTAGCTGCCATCCAAACGTATCCTCACGACTCTCAGCCTCTCGTTCGTCTCGATCACCTCCTCCTTCGTTTGTCCGCCTGCGTCCGCCGCAGAGAAGCCGTATTGCAATTTCGAAAAGTATCGAAAGCACGGGCAATTCCCCCACGATCATGAACACCGCGTATCGACGCATTTTACTCTCGTGACTTGTATTCAATCGATTTTCCTTATCACGCGCTTCAATCATCGCTCGTCGCGTTTAACAGGGCCGTTAAATTAAGTGCGACGGGAACGACGAAGACAGCGCGCATGCGAATGTCGCCTTCAATTAATTTTCAATTAACCCGACGCCGCGATAACGTCGAAAGTTTCGACATAAATAAATCGAGCACGGTAGGCGACGCGATAAGCAACTCAGTCGACGCGCTTCCGCCGTAGTTTCGTCAAATTTGTAGGAAAAGTTCGAATCCCAAAAACAAACAAAACTACGAAACACTTTAAGCAACATGAGATACGCCAAGAAAGCCGTAAAAATGTTATCGGTCGCTTTCTTATGCGATTTACATTCATTTAATTTTTGTTTTACAAATCGATTAGGAGGACGTAATTTCGAAAATTTTTAACAAGTTGCGAAAAATAATTATTATCCTCGGCTGTTTCACTAACAATAAGATAAAATCAATTTTTTATTTGGGAAAATTATCATGAAAATTCCCAAAAACAGACAAGATCACTCGATTTGCATTAATTTAATTTTTGTTTTATAAATCAATTAGAATGTCATTTCGAAAATTCTTAAGGAGCTGCGAAAAGTAATTATCCTCGGCTGTTTCACCAGTAAGATAAAATCGATTTTAAATTTTGGAAATTTGTCATGAAAATTGAGACGGAGAGAAATATTCAGCACGCGTGTCATTATCATATATTAGAAATTTATCTGATCGCATTTCACCCACAACGGCGCGAAGGCATTGACGTCGGAATTAATCATAGTTCCACATTCGTCGATGGGAAAGCGTTAATCTAAGCCTGACAGAATTCTCAGTCGACGCCGAAGTTTCCGTCCATTCAGCTAATACAGCGACAGTCGACACACCGTTACTCTCCGGACCAACCGAATACAAGAGTTTCCGCTTCGATTCCATTCATGGGACAACTAACAACGTTCGCTGTTGGCAGACGGCCAGACACTTATTTCCGAGCGATATGTACAAACGTCTCTATTGCCGATTCATCGGAATTGCCACACTAGGAACGAATGCTCGCCTTTCGTCTCCAATTCGTTTGGAATCAAATCGAGAGGGAATTAAAAATATTGACAATTTAATTTTGCTAAATAAGACTCCAAGCTAAATTTGTCATGTATGAATTTCCGTGTTAAAGCTTCCGCAAGGATCAATCTTGGCTGTGAGAATGAAAAGGAAACTAAATCTTTGCAACTACAGAGCAGCATTCTTTACAATTTAAGTCTTTGGCAGTTGAAATGATCATAAGTATATGAATATCAATATTCAATATTTTGTGTACTATTTCGCGCTTTCGACTTAGAAGCAGCCAACAAATTATACTCGAAGCGACGAGAGATTCAATGCTACGATACGAGATGTGTTCGAACACGAACATCGTTTAAAGAAACAATTATCGCCCGTTGTTATCGCAATGAAGATGTAATTTCAAGTTAGCTAGCGCTTTGACTTTTGGAGTTGGACGTACAGATTTCATGTGTGAATCGCGCGAGATATCTGTCTTGCCGGTTAATCGAGCATCGATAGCGAATCGCCAGGCGGCGACCACGCGATGATATCGTTCGCTGATTATTCACAGAGAGCGATCGCGGTTTCTTCCCGTACTTGTCGCGAACGCGTATCAAGATAGAATAATACGATATGCGGAGCGGCGCGGGCCGCGTACCAACCCGTGTTCGACTGTCGCCGCGTGAATGCTTAGGGTCAGAGCACAAAGCAATGTAATAGCTCACGACAAAGACGCAAGCGTAAAAGTAACGTCATATGTAATTGGAGGTAAGTACGTGATACGCCAAAGCTTGTGCGCTATCTACCTTTACGCTTGCGTCTTTGTCGTGGGCTATTACATTGCTTTGGGCACAATGAGGCAATTCCAAGAATTTCCGCAATTGATAAACCTCAATAATCGACGAAATGTTAAACAAAATTCGTATTTAAAAGTTGACGCGATATAAATGACATTCTGTGTTACAGCATCCTCGTTTTAAGGGAGACACGAATTATATTTGAAGAGCTCTATTTGTACCACTGACTCTTGTCTTTTATTAAAAACGTTTTGCATTTTTTCTGGGTGAGATCATCGAGGAAAATGATAAACTCACAACGGACCCGACGATTTTATTAGCCGGCTGTACGAAAGTATTCTCGAAGTAAGAAGAGGCTCGCGAACACTCCATCATTCCGCAGTCTTTTTCAGCGTGTAAAGTTATTGAGTCGCAGCGATTCACCAAGATAGCGGTTAAAGTTTAATTAAACTCCCACGCGAGATGAATGTGATAAAATATCGCTCGGACTTACTGGAAGTGCCCTCGTCCTTCACGTCCTGGACGATCCTCCGCACGCTCTGCGTGAACTTGCCCACGAGATTGGTGCTGGCTGAAACATACAACATCCGAGTTGAAATAATATCCTGGCGCAAACGAAACAAATGCAGTACACACCTCACAATTCTGACTTAAACAGCCTCGAATCGTTCGGCGCTTTATGAATAACATTACAAAGTCAAATTGGCGAGAACGCGCGCGCTCCTTTCGATCGCGCCGGATAAAGACGCGCGGGAATAATGGATATCCACCGTGCCTGCGAGAGGATGAGAAATAGGCATCTCTCTATAGTGGGAAGGCACAAACGTCACTCAGTGTATCCGGCGAGTGGATGACTTGACGAGAAACACCGACATCGCTCGCGACCGTCCGTGTCGGGCGACATAAAGCGCGGCGGCGCGGAAAAGCAGGCTAAAGCTTCTTACTCGTAAAACACGGGATTGTTCTTAAAGCAGCCGTCGAAGTGGGCTTTTTAAAGCGATCGATTCGCCCCATGGACCGCGAATGCGGCCGTTATCTGTTGCAATTCGACTCGGATGCGACTCTTCCGTATTATCGCACGTGCAGCGTGTGTCGCATGTATAAACGGCCTCGCCGTTTTTTCTCGATTTATACGTCTATTTATATTGAGAGACGTGGAATTTCTCATCTAACATAATGGACAGCTTTATCATGTTTAATCCTCTCGGCCGGCTAAATCCTTCGCGAGATGAGACCGGGGCAACGTCATATCTAACTATGCTGCGTAATTTCCAAATAAAGCTCCGTCTGATTAAATGCCGGGTCGTCCCTACCGTCTGCACTTATGCCGAACGCATTTTGCTGTTAATTGAAGTCAAGTGAGTACGTCTTTTTAGAGCTCCCTAGTACACGCGTACTAGACTACGCGTGTAATCCGTGTATTTAACTTATCCGTGTTTTAACCCGTGTACACGAATTTAAAGAATCTTCATTTACGTGAATGTGACACGTGTTCACGAATATCCGTGAGCGTGACACGTGTACACGAATATATCCGTGTATGTGACATATGCAAACGTGTAGCCGTGTATACCTCAGTAGGGAAATATTTAGAGAATTATGTGACAAAATCTGCACTGAAAACAAAATCTGATAGATTCAACCAGTCGTCTGTTAGAAAATGGACGAATCAGAATTCCTTTAGGATTTACCACGAAAGATATTTCATAACCAGAAGTTTGCTAGTCTTCACTACAAATCTGGTAAATCCTAAAGGCATTCTGATTCGTCCATTTTCTAACAGAAGACTGGTTGAATCAATCAGATTTTTTTTTCAGTGTGGATAAAACCTGGAATGCTGGAATTATGCGTGTACATATGTCGAACAACATATGCAGAAATAAAATAATTACTTATTGACCGTCACAAACTTGCTAATTAAGAAAAAGAATTGATTAGCAGCATCAGTAACTGATATTGAATCGGTAACTTGTAGCGTTCTCAGTGACTGATTACAAGAGCCGGTTTACTGGTAATGTTCCTCAGTTGATGTCCAGTTTTATTAATCAGTTTCTACATCACTTTAAGAAACTAGTTACACAGTGACTGTTATCGTCAGTAACTAACGGATCAAGTTACTGACGATAACAATTATTGTCTAACCAATTTTTCAAAGTAATGTAGAAACTGATCGCTAAAACTGAACGCTAACTGAGAAACATTACCAGTAGCTGACTCTCGAAATCAGTCACTGATAGAACGTCACAAGTTACTGATTCAACATCATCAGTTACTGATGCTGCTAATCACTTCCTTTCTTAAGGGTATCTAACCTGGCATATCAATACACTGAGAAAAATGTCCGATTAAATATAATCGGATAATCCAATTACATGATAACAAACGGATATATCCGATTAAATTGTATATCCGATGAAAAATTTGATCGGTTTTTCAATCAAATTTCATCGGTAATTGCATTTCATCGGATAAATTTCATCGGATATATCCATAATTTAATTGGAAAACGTAATCGGAAAAATTAACCATCGGACATACTATTTAATTGGTTTATCCGATGAAAATTTTTCTCAGTGTACATTTGATCCATAATGCGTCAAGTGATATTTTCGTATGAAAAAGTCACATAAATTTACAAAAATAAAGGAGGCCCCAGCAAAGCACCCATACTGTTCGCTTCCTCGTGCAGGAGCCACCTTAAATAAATAAATTAGCTTTATTACCGTAACGAGGTTAAGAGGTACGCGAGAGGTAGTTCTCGAAAATTTCTCAATTTTATCACACAAGTTCCGCCACCTCCGCCATTATGCGTGAAAGTAAAGTCGGCTTGATTATCTGAGGTAATTCACGCACCTAACATTGCCGCGAGTAACATGAGAATGTATTCAACTAAGTTCCCGCTATCTTCCGCAACATTTCCCTCGCGGGGAAATAGTTCCGTCGATTTCTTTCTCGCAGGGAATCGTTCCGTAGGGTTGCTAACGGGTGAACGTAAACATGGTAATGCTGAGACTTTTGTCAGGACCAAGGGGGGGGGGGGGGAAGATTTCCTCGTGGCACAAAACGCACGGAACGCCCCCGCAATCCTCTTTTACGGCTTTGTAAGTCTCGCCGTTACAAAGCCGAAAGTCCACATTCCTCGTGTTCTTTGTTACGGTCCCGCGTAACACCACGATGCGGAAGTTCATTGCGGCAAAACGGAAAACGGTTCGAGAACCGTCAATTGCTAAAAAAAGAAAAACTTCATTCTCTTTGAGCAACTTAAAGTTTCTTTAGCAAAAAAAAATCGCATTAACGGTCAATTTTCGACGCTAGAATATTCGCCTGTGAAAATGCGCGCGCAAAATTTATTATTCGACCATATCTTTCCGTTTGCGCAGTTTCATCGCGTCTGTTTTACAATGCGAAAGATGACGATCGCATGAAAGGAATAATATGATTCCTCGTATCCGCGCAATATGGAAAACTGAGTTTCGTAACATCTGTCGTGTTCATTAGTGTGAAACTGCCCGTTCGGCGAGCCTGGCTGAGTGCCAGCTTGTATAAGACACCTTATACATCTGTATTATCTCGCTCTTCATAATGGAGAACGTTCGGCCAACGAGAACGGCGGATAAACTCGCTTCACCGGCGATACTTCGACAGGCTTTCTACGGTGAAATGATTATTCTTGTTACAAAATGGGAGAAGTAAACTTTTCTGTATTTGCTCCACTTAACCGTTGGCTATGTGACCACTATGTCAGTAATTTCATTTTCGATACAGACACTGTACACATCCATGCGTGAAATAGTCCGCTTTTTATCAAAATAATGGTCATAGAGAATATTGTTATTACTTTACGAAATAAACAAATATGCGCATGTTGGGCTAAATTATATCAGAATAAAATAAAAGAATTGTTATATTTATGTATTGGAAT